CCCGCGACCCTCCCCTCACCACCCGCGCCCTCAGTTATATCCGCGTCTAGTGTGGTAGAATAGAGAGGGCGGCGTCCGCGACACTACCCTCACCACCCGCGCCCTCAGTTATATCTGTGTCTAGTGTGGTAGAATAGAGAGGGCGGCGTCCGCGACACTACCCTCACCACCCGCGCCCTCAGTTATATCCGCGTCTAGTGTGGTAGAATAGAGAGGGCGGCGTCCGCGACACTACCCTCACCACCCGCGCCCTCAGTTATATCCGCGTCTAGGTCGGCAGAATAGAGAGAGTGGCGTCCACGACACTACCCTCACCACCCGCGCCCTCAGTTATATCCGCGTCTAGGGGGGTAGAATAGAGAGGGCGGCGTCCGCGACACTACCCTCACCACCCGCGCCCTCAGTTATATCCGCGTCTAGTGTGGTAGAATAGAGAGGCAGGCGTCCGCAACACTACCCTCACCACCCGCGCCCTCAGTTATATCCGCGTCTAGGTGGGTAGAATAGAGAGGGCGGCGTCCATGACACTACCCTCACCACCTGCGCCCTTAGTTATATCCACGTCTAGTGTGGTAGAATAAAGAGGCAGGCGTCTGCGACACTACCCTCACCACCCGCGCCCTCAGTTATATTCGCGTCTAGGGCAGCAGAATAAAAAGGCCGTCATCCGCAACAGCCCCCCCCCTTTCATTTTAGGGTTGAGGGCGGCGTGACCGTCCTTTGCCTAGAGCGGCAGTTCAGCTTGCTCCGGCCCTGGAACCACTGACTTAGGGTATTAGGGTATCTGATTGGTGAATCATAAATTGGATAATGCGGGACCAGCCACAAATAATCATAAGCACGTGACATGACACAAAAACGTTTACAAGACCATCAGAAGCTTTTTACATCCACCTAGTTTTATTGTGCATTTTGGAATTTTGCATAAAACATTAGGAATAGGTTAGTAATAACTAGTTTAGTTTAAAATAGGGTCATGTGGAAACCCAATGGACACCTTGACCAAAAATACAGCAAGACTGCAAATCAGTTGACTACTGTGCTCTTTAATTGACGTCAAATTGACATCTAACACTGGCGACAAACGTCAACCACAGGACAGCCAGTGTTAGATGTCAATTTGATGTTGTTTCGAGATCAAGGTCGTTTAAACGCATTGTCGGGACACAAAATACAGTGTAAATTTGTCAATTGTAATCGAAGCTTTTAGATATTCTGCCATTATTTTGGTGGTCAAATGGGCATCAGAGTGTGGATGTCAAATGGACATCAAGGTTTTGACATCAAAGTCATTTTTTAAATGACCGCCAAATTAACGTCATTTTGAAATGAAGGTGCAAGCTTGGAAGTGCAGACACTGAGAGAGTATGACTACTAGCAATACTTAGTAATAAATGCCTGATTCTCTTCTTCAGATAAGCCAGATGCTGAAGAAATGGGGTCTAGAAACGCAAACAAAAGTGACGTTGAGAATTCAGCCAGACGGAAACGTCTTCACACTTTTCAAGAAACCATGCAAACAAAACATGTGTCAGTCAGAAGCTGCAGAGCACTGCTAACTCACAGACGTGTTCAACTCTGTCCTTGTAAAGTCAACAATATGTCTTAAGGGGACGTTCAGATAAAGTCTAACTATGCGGTGCCATGACTAATATGTTTTGTTTACTGTTTTGTTCGATCATCCTAACGTATGGATTAATGATTATGTAAATAATTTCAGTTATTTTAGCGTGGCTTCCTGACAGAATCACTTGAATTAGCTCATGTCGACACATGTAACGTGGACCGTACGGGAACATTAAGTTCTTAAAACATCTTTGTAATTGTTAAATTGTATTTTTGCTTGTTTGCTTTATATCTGTTCAAATAAAACGACTAGAAGTGTTGGCTGTGATTATTTTCTGAATACCATTTCATCAATAAATCACCTATAGAGCTGTGTTTCTCAACCATGTTCCTGGAAGACCACCAGCTCTGCACGTTTTCTTAACCGAACACTCCTGATTCAGATCATCAGCTCATTAGCAGAGGCTAAAAGAGCTGTAATGGATGTGACCGCCAAAGGAGACATCCAAAACATGCAGTGCTGGTGGTCCTCCGGGAACGTGGTTGAGAAACACTGACCTACAGCACCTTTACTTTTTTAGGCTTAGCATGCTGTCCCTGGAGAGAACCCTGAGCTTAGAGATAATTATGCCCAGGGCTTCCGCCTGGTCCTTTAGTTCTGGAGAGCTCGCACTGGTAAGAGGGAGATGGGGTGAATGGGGGGTGGTTCTCAAAAACAAAAGAAAACGAAGGTAGTAATGCTACACGGGCTATTTATAGTGAGTTTGGAATGATCTAATTGGCTTACTGATTAGTGGTGGGCAAAGCGAGGCTTCGTGAGACACTGAAACAGTCGAAGCAAAGGTGTCGAAGCTTCGAAAACCATCTCTACAGTGACACCTAGTGGTCATTTTATGTATCGCTCTAGAACAGCTTCAGCAAAGAAACAGTTACACAACGTCAGGAATTAAACCCCATGCTGTAGAATTGATATTTCGAGTGATTTAGTGGAGCGGTGATAGTTAGCATGCAGAGATAATTGGTTCCAATCCAAGGTGATGCAGCTATATTTGTTAGTTCTTAAGCGATCTGTTCTAACGTGCTTTGTTTTAACATTGGTCTGACATCCCATTGGACACTTTTTGAATAAACATGTCTTGTTTTGGTCATAAAAATTAACATTAAAATACATAAAGTGACCATTTGTGAGATTTTTTGCAAGCCGGGAATCGAACTTAGGACATTTGTATAAATAGAGGGTTCTCCCTACCCTGTTAATCAAACGCAGATTCGCCAGGGCTCAAAATGCTTCGGAAATGTCTGATGCTTTGAATCGATTTAGTCACGGGACCTTGTGCTCTGGATCATGCTTCGGTGCAGTGTTTTAAAACACTTGCGAAAACGCTCTTTGAAACACTTGCGGCAGCCATCTACTAAGTACAGATGAGGGACCAGCTGTGATCAATCATATCACATGCTCCTTTCGAAACTAGTTTGTGAAACTTCACTTAAAATCTCTATTAAATAGAAATTAAACTGTGACTGTGAGTCAGACATGACCATTTAGCTTTATTAAATATGAAATATTTAACATTTTCATAACACGCATAGCACTCTTTAGATGACAAACTCAATTACACAAAAGCACAAACACTAAACCTGGCAAAGCGTGGCAATGCAAGCATTCCTTAATTCATTGCTCATGTGCATTTTTTAGCTTTCTTGCTTGATTTTTATAAAAATAGAACTGTTCTGCAACATATGTTTGTATATGAAGAGTTCCGATGCAAAAACCTCTAAGCGCCATCTGAAAATTCATTCATTCAATCATTCATTTTCTACCGCTGTTCTAGGGCCGAGTCGTGGGGGCAGCAGTCTTAGGAGAGAACCCCAGACTTCCCTCTCCCCAGACACTTCCTCCAGCTCCTCTGGGGTGATCCCGAGGCGTTCCCAGGCCAGCCGAGAGACATAGTCCCTCCAGCGTGTCCTGGGTCTTCCCCTAAGCCTCTTACCGGTGGGACATGCCCTGGAACACCTCCCTAGGCAGGCGTCCAGGAGGCATCTGAAACAGATGCCCGAGCCACCTCAGCTGACTTCTCCCGATGTGGAGGAGCAGCAACTCTACTCCGAGCTCCTCCCGGGTGACAGAGTTCCTCACCCTATCCATAAGAGTGCGCCCTGCCACCCTTTGAAGGAAACTCATTTCGGCTGCTTGTATCCGAGATCTTGTCCTTTCAGTCATGACCCAAAGCTCATGAACATAGGTGAGAGTAGGAACGTAGATTGACCAGTAAATCGAGAGCTTTGCCTTTCGGCTCAGCTCCTTGATCACCACAACGGACCGGTACATCGACCGCATTACTGCTGCCACTGCACCAATCCGTCTGTCAATCTCACGTTCCACCCTTCCCTCACTCGTGAACAAAACCCCAAGATACTTAAACTCCTCCACCTGGGGTAAGGACTTTCCTCCAACCTGGAGATGGCAAACCACCTTTTTCCGCTAGAGCACCATGGCCTCGGACTTGGAGGTGCTGATTCTCATCCCAGCCGCGTCACACTCGGCAGCAAACCACCATCTGAAGATGTCTTATACAATGAGCATTCTCTTTAGCCTCCCATGTTTATGGTCAGCTATTTTCAACATAGGCTCATACTGAAAGCGTAGTACTATATACGCTTCTGGAGACCGTGAATTATGTAGCCAGAAGTACATATGGCTGAATTTCATTTTTTAAGCGAACGATACAGGACGGTATGACGCCATTACTTTTTACGCATTCCAGCTGACCGCTTACCTCCGTGTGAACGGCTTTCCCGCTGAAACCAGTTGGTTCCGTTAGCTCGTCATGTACGACAGCGGATTTGAGAGGCAGAGAGCAGTCGACCACAACAACGAGGCTGGAGTTTGGTGAAAAACGGTTCTAGAAGGCAGGTAAGACTAAACCGAACCCCAAAAAAATAAAATAAGAGGGTGAGAATGTGGTAAAATCCGAAAACGTGTTAAAAATCAGACGAGGGCTTTTCTGTTTCCGCATTGCTTTTGAAAATTGTTGGTTGGGTTTAGGGAAGTGGGTGGGCAGGGGTCAATCGATAAAATTAGTTGGGTTTAGGAAAGGAAGAGGGTGGGTCAGTCGATTGGTCATTCAGTCAGCAAGTCAACAGCGGCCTCTGGTGGGTTTATGCGACAACAGCGGGCATGAATGGCACTCGCGAGAGAAATTTGAAGAATACACAGCGGCCTATCGTGGATTCCCGAAAACAAAAACTGCATAAAAACGCACATCCTGGGACGTGTTCTGTGTGGAGTTTGCATGTTCTCCAGTGTTGCCGTGGGTTTCCTCCGGGTGCTTCGGTTTCCCCCACAGTCCAAAACCATGTGGCATAGGCGAACTGGCCGTAGTGTAGGTGTGTGAATGGGAGTGTAAGAGTGTTTCCCAGTACTGGGTTACAGCTGGAAGGACAACGGCTGCGTAAACCATATAACGGATGAGCAAACATATGCTGGAGGTTCATTCTACAGCCACCTCTGAAGAATAAAGGGACTGAACCGGAAAGAAAGCGAACGAATGAATAATCTGGTCATTCGTAAATCTGAATGTCTCCGAATAAAAAATGTAATGAAAAATAAAAACTTAAAAATATGGAAAGAGAAATGACACGTTATATAAAACAAAATAAAATGTATATTACATGTTTCAGAATGTAGTGAAGTGAAAGTATTCCATAGGTAATGTGATAAGATCAATGTACAGATAAACACGTAACACGTAAGATCAATGCAAAGGTAAACACGTTATTACTGTCCACCACTGTAGATATCGTACAGGGCTGCATGATATTGGAAAATTTGCTACATTTAATTTTTATGCAAAATGTTTTGCTGTAGAAACACGAGTTCAGCAGACGGCTGGAATAGCTCTATTTTGGAAAGAATTTATTCGATTATTTGGGAAGGATTCTGAAGGGGTGTGAGTGAATGAATAATTCCACACTCGAAACCAAGGGGTGAGAAATTTTCCCAGAATACACGAGTCACAACGGCAGCATAGCTGTACACGGAAGTAAGGAAATCCACAAATTAGAATTTTTTTTTGTCATTATTAGAAATTTTTTTACAAACAAGCACGTTTTAATTTATTCATAACTGCGTTCGTGTTTTACTATCCTGCTTAAAAACCCCCGCTAAAATAATACGTTTGGCGATCTATAATCCCTAATCATAACTCCTGTACAGCAGTCCCACAACATTCTGACACTCGATGACCCTCGAATACCCAGTCGGAAATCGGAAATGTCTAGTGGCTGGGAATGAGCTGTTTACAGTGTCTGCTATAATGTTAATGTTGTTTGTGTGTTTACATTGATGAATAAGGCCACTGTGTAAATGCACAGTACAGTTACGATCTTATTGTCACATTATATCATTATAATAACATGATATATGCCTTCAGTGATTTCCTGAAGATAAATACCAACAAATAACGCAACTGGAATCACTCCAGCAGTCGCCATCGTCTCATCTCGTATGAAGCAAGAGGTCTCGATGACGTGTGCAGGTGCTGTAGTGCTGTCCCATTTCTTAAGGGTAAATTTCGAAGCCCTTCTCCTTCGCACTCTGTTTCAAGGGCCAAGGGGAAGGGATACAAAAATAGAATTGGGATTGGGCCTTATGCTGCGTTCACACCAGACGCGGAACGCGCGTCAAGCGCGAGTGATTTACATGTTAAGTCAATGCCAACGCGCGAATAGATATCCTGCGGCGTGAATGACTCGAATTGCGCGGTGCGAATAGCGCAATACGCGCGAGGCAAATTGAGCGTGTTGCGCGTTTGACGCGCTTAACGAGCGTTTCGCGCAAATCTCTCGAGTTCGAAAATCTAAACTTCAGCGGACATTCGCGCCACGTTAACCATTCAGAAGCTTGCTCTTGTGGGGGCGTGATTGTGAACCTGTAGATGGTGTCCCAGGGGAAATCCTCCAGACTTCACCGACAACAAGTCATCAAACTGGGCTTGGCTCAGACAGAAGCACCGCTGAAAGTCTCCGTGATCCAGGTCCAGTTTCTGGAGGAGTTTATGAGCTCACAGAGCTGGATGCACCTCTGAAAGCATGACTCAGACACACGACGTATCGACGCTGTTTTTCAGCCTTCCTACAGCACATAAACACTGTTATTTTCTTCATGAAATCCATGTTAGCCTTTTAGCAACAAAGCTACAGTCACCGGGCAGACAGAAGCCCCGCCCATCACCTGAATCCGCGTCTGTTCTGAAGTGAATTTGACATGCGAATGAAGCGGATTTGACGCGCGAATGAATCGAGTAAACGCAAATGTTCACGTGGCTATTTATGCGCGAATAGCGCGAATTATCCGCGCGTTCCGCGTCTGGTGTGAACACAGCATTAGACTCCTCTGAAAAGTGTAAAATAGAGCTGATCAAGACATCTGGTGAAAGTTTACTCACATCGCAGAAAAGCACTTCATTCACTATTTATTTAGTCGCGAGCGTGTATGTGTGTTGCTTCAAACTTACAAAGAGACACAGAGGAGTTTAATCGATAGATCCCGAATCCCGCATAAAGCGGCTCTGTGAATTTGCAGGTGAACGTGTGTAAGTGCGTGAGTGTGTTCGAGACGCTGTAGAAGGACAGAGTACCCGCTGAGCAGTCCACATAAACACCCACTCTCCTCCAGGAGCTTGAAGGCACACGTATGACTGTCTCCTTGTGATCATGGCAGGCCGTGAAAGCCTCATCGCAGATTAGACTCCAGGAATTTCTGTTGTTCCTGTTATATCCAAACTCGGAGAACTCATTCCAACCTTTTCTCCAGATTGCTTTATACGCCACGGATATAACAGCGTACCCGGTCCATTCGGCCTCCCAGTAGCAGCGTCCAGACAGGCCTTCTCTACAGAGCACCTGTGGCCAGCCGTCAAATCTCTCCGGGTGATCGGGGTAGGACTGCTTTTCCTCCACATAAGTCACCTTTCTGCTGTCTTCAGACAGAGTTAGATTACTGTTGGCTGTTTTCGGATCTAAGGTGAGATCACAGGCATCTGGACACAAGAACAAGGAGAACGTTAACAACCACAGTTGATGTCTGACACAGTTACTGTATTCTTATGACATGTTTTTGGGGAATGCGGTAACTACATTTTAAATGCGCGTGACTTGATTACAGTTGCTAAAGTTAATATAACTGTTATTTGCGCTACTAGAGCTTGTATACATTTACACTGGATCTGTTTAGGAATATATTGAGACAGTGCTGTGCGTCACCGATTGTTCAACGACTTAAACGAATGTGAACAAAGCGATGTGCATCTTTTCAGGTCAGAACTACAGTTTTGACTTTGTGGTGCTATTTTAGGCTATAATTTATTTTTGTTGTGATGTGTTTAGGCTTTTGTTTTAGGTTTTTAAAGTAACTTGAATGTAAAGTAATTAGTAATCTGATTACTTTTGACCTGCAGTAACTACTAATGTAATCCGATTACAATTTTCAAGAATTAAGTGAATTAATTAGCCATAAATTTGACTTTGTTGTGATTTTTTAGGCTTTTGTTTTAGGTTTTCAAAGTAACTTGAATGTAAAGTAATTAGTAATCTGATTACTTTTTACCTGCAGTAACTACTTATGTAATCCGATTACAATTTTTTAAGTATTAAGGGAATGAATTAGCTATAAATTTGGCTTTGTTGGGATATTTTTAGCCTTTTGTTTTAGGTTTTTAAAGTAACTTGAATGTAAAGTAATAAGTAATCTGATTACTTTTTAACTGCAGTTAATACTTATGTAATCCGATTACAATTTTCAAGTATTAAGTGAATGAATTAGCTATAAATTTGACTTTGTTGTGATTTTTTAAGGCTTTTGTTTTAGCTTTTTAAAGTAACTTGTCTGTAAAGTAATTAGTAATCTGATTACTTTTTACAGGCAGTAACTAGTAATGTAATCCAACTACAATTTTCAAGTATTAAGGGAAGGAATTAGCTATAAATTTGACTTGATTGTGAGTTTTTAGGCTTTTGTTTTAGGTTTTCAAAGTAACTTGAATGTAAAGTAATTAGTAATCTGATTACTTTCTACATGCCATAATAAGTCATGTAATCTGAATACATTTTTCAAGTATTAAATGTTGAAATTTTCAAGTAGTAAATATTAAATGCATGAAAGAACTATAATGTTGAACTCATAGGTTTTGTTTAAGCTTCTGTTTTAGGTTTTCCAAATAACTTGACTGTAAAGTAGATAGTAATCTGATCATTTTTTTACAGGCAGTAACTAGTAATGTAATCCGATTACAATTTTCAAGTATTAAGTGAATGAATTAGCTATAAATTTGACTTTGTTGTCATTTTTTTTGGCTTTTGTTTTAGGTTTTCAATGTAACTTAAATGTAAAGTAATTAGTAATCGGATTACTTTTTACCTGCAGTAACTACTAATGTAATCCGATTACAATTGTGACTTTTTTAAGCTTTTGTTTTTGGTTTTCTGATTAGTAATCTGATTACTTACTACATGCCATAATAAGTAATGTAATATAAAAAATTTTTTTACACCTTTGTTAAAGTTTTTAAAGTAACTTGAATGTAAAGTAATTAGTAATCTGATTACTTTTTACAGGCAGTAACTTATAATGTAATCCGATTACAATTTTCAAGTATTAAGTGAATGAATTAGCTATAAATTTGACTGTTGTGATTTTTTAGGCTTTTGTTTTAGGTTTTCAAAGTAACTTGAATCTAAAGTAATTAGTAATCTGATTACTTTTTACCTGCAGTAACTACTTATGTAATCCGATTACAATTTTTTAAGTATTAAGGGAATGAATTAGCTATAAATTTGGCTTTGTTGGGATATTTTTAGCCTTTTGTTTTAGGTTTTTAAAGTAACTTGAATGTAAAGTAATAAGTAATCTGATTACTTTTTAACTGCAGTTAATACTTATGTAATCCGATTACAATTTTCAAGTATTAAGTGAATGAATTAGCTATAAATTTGACTTTGTTGTGATTTTTTTAGGCTTTTGTTTTAGCTTTTTAAAGTAACTTGTCTGTAAAGTAATTAGTAATCTGATTACTTTTTACAGGCAGTAACTAGTAATGTAATCCAACTAAAATTTTCAAGTATTAAGGGAAGGAATTAGCTATAAATTTGACTTGATTGTGATTTTTTAGGCTTTTGTTTTAGGTTTTCAAAGTAACTTGAATGTAAAGTAATTAGTAATCTGATTACTTTCTACATGCCATAATAAGTCATGTAATCTGAATACATTTTTCAAGTATTAAATGTTGAAATTTTCAAGTAGTAAATATTAAATGCATGAAAGAACTATAATGTTGAACTCATAGGTTTTGTTTAAGCTTCTGTTTTAGGTTTTCCAAATAACTTGACTGTAAAGTAGATAGTAATCTGATCATTTTTTTACAGGCAGTAACTAGTAATGTAATCCGATTACAATTTTCAAGTATTAAGTGAATGAATTAGCTATAAATTTGACTTTGTTGTCATTTTTTTTGGCTTTTGTTTTAGGTTTTCAATGTAACTTAAATGTAAAGTAATTAGTAATCGGATTACTTTTTACCTGCAGTAACTACTAATGTAATCCGATTACAATTGTGACTTTTTTAAGCTTTTGTTTTTGGTTTTCTGATTAGTAATCTGATTACTTACTACATGCCATAATAAGTAATGTAATATAAATAATTTTTTTACACCTTTGTTAAAGTTTTTAAAGTAACTTGAATGTAAAGTAATTAGTAATCTGATTACTTTTTACAGGCAGTAACTAGTAATGTAATCCAACTGCAATTTACAAGTATTAAATATTGACTTTATAGTGCTTTTTTAGGCTTTTGTTTCAAGTTTTTTTTAAGGTTATTAGTAATCTGAATACTTTGTACAGGCAGTTACTTATAATGTAATTCGATTACAATTTTTTGTTGTGAATTTTTTAGGCTTTTGTTTAAGGTTTTCCAAGTAAATTGAATGTAAAGTAATTAGTAATCTGATTACTTTTTACATGTCATAAGTCGTGTAATCTTAATTTTTTTTTACACTTTTGTTTAAGTTTTTGATGTAACTTGAATGTAATTAGTAATCTGATTACTTTTACAGGCAGTAACTTATAATGTAATCCGATTACAATTTTCAAGTATTAAGTGAATGAATTAGCTATAAATTTGACTGTTGTGATTTTTATGCTTTTGTTTTAGGTTTTCAATGTAACTTGAATGTAAATTAATTAGTAATTGGATTACATTTTACATGAAGTAATTAGTAATGTAATATAATTAATTATTTAACATTTTAAATATAAAATGAATGAAGGAACTATGATTTTGTTTTTGTAGTGATTTTTTAGATTAATCTGATTACTTTTTACATGCTGTAACTAGTAATGTAATATGATTACAATTTTTAAGTATTAAATATAGATATGTTCAATTATTAAATATTAAATGCATGAAAGACCTATTATTTTGACTACATAGGTTTTCTGTAGGCTTTTGTTTTAGGTTTTCAACGTAACTTGAATGTAAAGTAATTAGTAATCTAATTACTTTTTACATTAAGTAGCTAGTAATGTAATCCGATTAAAATTTTAAATATTAAATGAATGAAAGAACTACAATTTTGACTTTATAATGATTTTTAGGGTTTTGTTTTAGGTTTATAAAGTAACTTTATTGTAATTAGTAATCTTATTTCTTTTTACAAGCAGTAACTAAATGTAAATGTAAATGTAACTAGTAATGTAATCCGATTACAATTTTCAAGTATTAAATATTGAAATTTTTTAAGTATTAAATATTAAATGCATGAAAGTACTATAATTTTGAACTCACAGGTTTTGTTTAAGCTTGTGTTTTAGGTTTTCAAAGTAACTTGAATGTAAAGTAATTAGTAATCTGATCACTTTTTACCTGCTCTAACTAGTAATGTAATCCGATTGCAATTTTCAAGTATTAAGTGAATAAAATTTACTACAAATTTGACTTTGTAGTGCTTTTTTTAGTGTTTTGTTTTAAGTGTTTAATGTATATTTAATGTAAAGTCATAAGTAATAGAGTTACTCTTTACATGCAGTAACTAGTAATGTATCCAATTAAAATTTTCAAGTCTTAATTATTAAAATTTTCAAGTATCAAATATCAAATGCATGAAAGTACTATAATTTTGAACTCGTATGTTTTGTTTAGGTTTCTGTTTTAGGTTTTCAATGTAGCTTGAATGTAAAGTAATTAGTAATCTGATTACTTTTTACAGGCAGTAACGAGTAATGCAATCCAACTACAATTTTCAGGTATTAAATATTGAGTTTATAGTGCTTTGTTAGGCTTTTGTTTTAAGTTTTCAATGTAAATTTCATGTAAATTTATAAATAAATGTATTACATTTTACATGCAGTAATTAGTAATGTAATCTGATTATAATTTTCAAGTATTAAGTGAATAAAAAGCTATGAATTTGACTTTGTAGTGATTTTTTAAGCCTTTTGTTTTAGGTTTTTAAAGTAACTTGAATGTAAAGTAATTAGTAATCTGATTACTTTTTAAATGCTATAAGCAATGCAATCTGAAAATTTTTACACTTTTGTTTAAATGTTCAAGGTACAATTTCCAAGTAATAAAGTTTTAATTTAATTACTTTTTTTGTGTTAAGCAACACTGTAAACAAAACAATGCCAAAAATATAACTGAAGATGTGCGAGTTAACATACATTTCCATAGTCCTGCTGTTATCCTAAACTCTCCTCCATGATCCACACTGTGAGAAATACAAAGAGTCGCATTAAATTATTTAACACACATACACACACACTTCTTTATCTTGGCACACCATCTTTAAAATGTGACGCTTGTGTGAGGCATTGCAAAACAACAGATGCACACGTCAATCACGCACATGTTTACAAAGAAAAATAATAGAAGAGCAGTGCATTAGAATGAAAACAATGTGTAAGTAGATGATAAAGTTTGAGAACAAACCTTATGGTGGATTGAGGAAACCTGTTGGTAGAAATTTATTTAGTTTGAAAAAGTATCAAGTTGGCTAAAAGAATGTTTAAGATCCATGCAGTCAATGCAACCACTGAAAAGAGTGAAGCAGGCCCCTAAAAAGATTTAAAGTTGATCCCTGTGTGTTTGAGGTTGGTAATAGCATGATAGTAGCATGAATCAGCATATTTCTAAGAAATTAACATGTTATTAGCATAAATCTAGCAAGATTTAGCATGTTGTTAGCAAATTTTTAGCATAAATTAGCAAGTTGCTAGCCTGTTTCTAGCATGAATTAGCATGCTTATAACACAAATTAGCATGTTGTTAGCATGATTCTAGTATGAATTAGCATGTTATTAGCATGATTCTAGTATGAATTAGCATGTTATTAGGATGATTCTAGTATAAATTAGCATGTTATTAGCATGACTTTAGCATGAATTGGCATGTTTTTAGCATGATTCTAGTATGAATTAGCATGTTACTAGCATGATTCTAGTATGAATTAGCATGTTATTAGCATGCTTTAGTATGAATTAACATTTTATTAACATGTTTCTAGCATGAATTAGCATATAATTAGCATGATTCTAACACATATTAGCATGTTATTAGCATAATTCTAGCATGAATTACCATGTTAAAAGCATGAATCTAGTATGAATTAGCATGATATTAGCATGATTCTATTATGAATTAGTGATTCTAGTATGAATTAGCATGTTACAAGCATGATTCTAGTATGAATAAGCATGTTATTAGCATGATTCCAGTCCAGATTAGCATGTTATTAGCATGATTCTAGTATGAATTAGCATGCTATTAGCATGATTCTAGTATGAATTAGTGATTCTAGTATGAACTATTCTTAAAGTTTGAGAACAAACTTTGAGGCTGGCTTGTGAAAGCCTGATGGTAATAGTTTATTTAGTTTAAACTATTTTAAAAAAGTATGAAAAGTTAGATAGATAGATAGATAGATAGATAGATGGATGGATGGATGGATGGATGGATGGATGGATGGATGGATGGATGGATGGATGGATGGATGGATGGATGGTGTGCTAGCATGAGTCAAACAAGCCAACCTCCGCTTCTCTACGATGTTCTGATACTGAGATATAGCTGCTGTTATATCGTTGCTAGGTTAGTCTGTTTTGTTGCTATGGAGTGGATTGACAGCTTAGACTGATGATGTATCAAAGCTTCTTGCCAGTATGAACAGTTAAAAGCAACACCAATGTCTCTATCACACTGCAGCATGACGATATCAATCTGAACCTCTATAATGGCAGTCTATGGGACCGTTGGTAGGGTGCCGTATCTGATTGTTAGGGGTGTGGCTAGAAAGTTAAAAGCTCATCAGTTTTTGGCAGTTAGATAGTCTGAGTTAAATGAGCCCATTTAGAAGCCTGTAGGGCAGTCTGATGCAGACTTATGAGGTCACAAAGTTTGGTCCAATGTTAAGTCAATGGGATTTTTCAGACGGTCACGGGACGTTTTTCGGAAAACCAAAAGTCGGATCAGTCGGAAAAGATATAGCAACCCGAGTCAGACCAGTTTGTAGGTCAGGTGTGAGTTTGGTGGTCATAGCTTGAAAGCTCTAGGAGGAGATAGAGTTTAATTTTTAGTCTCAGAAGAAAAATAGGATAACAATAGTCTGGCTTGCTACACAAGCCAGCCTAATTAGCATGTTACCAGCATGATTCTAGTATGAATTAGCATGTCATTAGCATGATTCTAGTATGAATTAGCATGTCATTAGCATGTTTCCAGTATGAATTAGCATGTCATTAGCATGATTAGCATTGGCATTTTAGAATTATTAGCATTTGAAAGCACAGCTAATTACAGTCTATGGTACAGTTGCTAGGGTGCAGTATGTGCTAGTTAAGGTGTGGCTATTAAGTTTAATGGTCATCAGTGATTGGCTGCCTGCTAGACTCAGTTGAATGAGGCCTGACTCTAGTCTGTAGAACAGTCTGATGCAGAGTTATGAGCTCATAAAGGGTGATCCAATGTTAAGTCAATGGGCAGTCTTTTACTTAGGATGTCTATGAGACAGTTACTAGGGTGCCATAAGTGGTTGCTAGGGAGTGGCTAGTAAGTTGAATGGGAGTAGAGTAGAGAGAAAGAGTTAAATGAGGCCATTCCAATGTTAAGTCAATGGGACTTTTTTGGGAATTTTCTGGGTCGTTTTTCGGAAAAGGGAAAGTCGGATCAGTTAGAAAAGACATAGCAACCCGAGTCAGACCAGTTTGAAGGTTTGACGAAAGTTTGAAGTATGTAGCTTGAAAGGTTTAGAAGATACACTTTAAAATTTGTCTTAGAAGAAGAAGACGACGACGACGGAGGAATAAAAATACGTTTATGCAGAATATCAGAATAGTGGCTTTCTCAAGCCACCATAAACAGCCCCTAACCCTGCCCCAAGATAACCATCACATGACTTACGCCCTATTCACACGGGGCTTCAGCGTCAACGCTTGACTGAAGGCGTGTCTGAAGTTGGGGCTGAAGCGTCAGCCAATGAAATTCATTCAGCATTAGGCCACTGTCTAGCTGGTGTATTTGCATACGGCGATCTGATTGGCTGACGCTTCCGTCGGCGCTTGAAAAGTTGAGCTAGTTCCAACTTCTGCAAGCGGCGCCAACGGATCCACAATGCAGTTCGGCAATGCCTGACGTCACCCTTTCAAAGTGAATGGGAAGCGTTGACGCTGACGCCCCGTGTGAATGGGGCGTTACTTTTTTATTATTGAAAATAATAATTCACTACAATTCATAAACTGTTTTCATGACGGGAAACTCATTTTAAAAAAGTCCTTATAAGGTCAAAAATTAGTTGAATTACTACACTAGATGAGGCACTGCCCTGCTGAAAAATCCAGCTTAAACCAGCCTTGGCTGGTTGGCTGGATTTAGCTGGTTGACCAGCCTGGTTTTAGAGGGGTTTTGGCCATTTCCAGGCTTGTTTTCACCCATTAACAGCCAAATCCAGCTAAAACCAGCTCAACCAGCCTGGTTGAAGCTGGATATAGCTGGTTTTGGCTGGACTCCCAGCCTGGCTAGGCTGATCAAGCTGGTTTTAGCTGGTCATCTCCCCGCCTGACCAGCTATGACCTGGCTGGAAATGGCTGGAAACCAGCCTGGAACTGGCCAAAACCCCTCTAAAACCAGCCTGGTCGACCAGGTAAAATCAGCCAACCAGCCTAGGCTGGTTCAAGCTGGATTTTTCAGCAGGGTGGGTCCCCATAATGTACCTAATCCCAGGACAAATGTGGTTTATGGGGACTCCATAGAGAAAACACTTTCTATACTGTACAAACTGTATATTCTACACCCTAAAACACCACATACTCTCATAAATTGACTTTCATGTACGTTCTTACATGGTTATTTCCATACAATTATACATATTTGTGTCACACACAGTTATAATCTCTCTCCCCCCTCAACATACTGGATTTTGTCCAGTGCAGAGTTTGGATTCTTCTGTAGATCAGACAGCAGACTGACTCCTGATGCACCCGGGTGATTGTAGCTCAGATCCAGCTCTGTCAAACGTGAGTGGGTTGAACTCAGAGCGGCAGACGCATAACGACAGCCATCCTCGCTCACCATACAGCCAGACAATCTGTAAACGCACAGTGATAGTATGTACTATTTGAGTTCATTTTGAATTCTTTTTTTAATATCAGCATCCAAGTCCTTGCTCAGTGTGAAAGTATCAGCAGCTATGTGTCCATCCACCTATTTCTATGCGCATTTTGGATTTGCGCATAAAAAAAACGGTTGATGGAAACGCCACGATGCGCATACATTTTGAAAATGCGTATTAAAAACTCATGCGCATAAATGAGTAGGATAAACTTTTTATTCGGTAAGAAACACTTTTACCGAACAAATTCCAGCATGCGCATTAAAAAAGGTCATGTGATTGTGTGAGATCATGTGATGATGAAAATGTGAGTGAATGGACAAACCATGAGGCTGAGCATGCTGTAAACATCTGAACTGTTGATTTGGTCGTTCTAAAGCGCCTTAACGTTTAAGTATTAGTGTTATTATATTAATATTTAAAATAACACCTTCAAACGCCACCGCGCGTTTACTGCGTGTGTAACGGAGGCCAGCTGGTAAGTGCTGTGCATGTAAACCTCACTCCTTGTTAGAGCAACCGACTCCCATGCGGAAGGTCGCCGGTTCGATACCAGCACGGAGCGGGTTGGGTGGTGTAGGAGCGTCGGGGTTACATTGGTGCCGTGACCCGGATGTTCATGTAAGAAAACATTGTAAATAATTGAAAATTCGGCGCAATCATCAAACCCTTGGGAACAACTGTGGTCGGAACCAAAGTTCACAGGTCTGTGTTCTCTGAACTCCTATCAAGCGGCGGTCTTCATTTTAATTGCTTGCCGCCGAACCGCGTCATAGCTCATTACCATAAAGTTGACTTGATTTCAACTCTCCTCGACATCCACTCCGGCGAAGATGTGCCGCACTGCTCCTCGCCGCTTATCGCCGCCGACTCTCATTGAAAATGCATGACTTCCGGCTACTTTGACGCTCTCCCCGCTTTCGGTGTGAACGTACGGTTAGAGCAACCGACTCCCATGCGGAAGGTCGCCGGATCGATACCAGCTTGGAGCGGGTTGGGTGGTGTAGGACCGGCGGGGTTAGGATTGCTTTCTGAGGCGAAAGTCATTTATTAGATAAAGATTGACGCAGCTTCTACTGCAGCAAATCCCGTTTTTACTGTTGATATTTGCCGCCAGTTAATCAGGAAGTGACGATTTTGTTCGCTTTGACACGATGGATGGAATCGAATCTTTATTCGCACGTCTTTAATGCGATAATTCAGTTTTGCGCATAAAGTTCATTCGCATTTTTGGATGGAAACATAGCTAGTGTAAGCAACTAAAACTAATAATCTAAACTTTTTATTTCTTATTTTCTTAGTTTTACCTCTTCCCGACAGGGAAAAACAGCAACCATCTAAAGTGCAAGATTATATGCCGTCAAGGTTTCGCAATCAAAAAATGCGATTATAATGGAAGTCAACCAGGCAAAAACAGCACCAACGGTAAATTAGCGAGAATGAAAATCTTTAGCTTATAATCTTATAATCGTTCACATGTCCAAGACTGTGATAAAACGTAATAAACAGTCCACGACTACTAAATTTTTAACTATTAAAAATAAATCGTTGTGTTTTTTTTTTTACTAAATCATTTATGAATTTGGCGATTAAAGAGTTAAAATCCTGTAATTTCGAAAAACATCAAGTAGTTTTAAAGGGCACATAGTTAACCCTTTTTTAAAGATGTATTATTAATATTATGGTTGTTCTGAGTGCGCCAGCTTAGGTTCAGTTCAACACACAGATCAGATGTTTTTATTATGATGTGTTAAAGAGTGTGATGTTGTGGCCGTGTACACAGCTCGCTGTTTAAGGGGCGTGTTCCTTTACATGAAAATTAGTTTCGGTTTCCCGCCCAACGTAACAAGGGGGCGGAGCCAAGAGCTCCCACGCTCTGTGTTTGCAGCAGACAGAGAGAAGCTAAGCTACATGAGAGGATCAGCATTCAGCTGCACATGTACGACTCGGAAACAGACCAAGCAGAGAGAATACACAATCATTTGTGTCTTTGTATAGTTTTACAGCCAACTGTGTGCTAGTTTCAAGTGGCGAGCTTGTACACCGAGACTAATAACCACGCACACTGAAGTAACTTTGACTGAGGCACCGGATGCGCAACGACACGGCACACCAGACACTCTCAGTGGCGCGGCAGAAACATAAAGTGTCCCGAATCGTCACGAGACGCAGCGCCATGCATTCCAGAACTCCAAACAAAGGCCTCCACTAGGGCAAACACAACTGCGCCCCAAGTCGCCCAGCCGCCGACTCGAAGCATTGCCGCATGCACCCCGACAGAAACCCACGCCCAGAACTTCGAAATGCACAGTGCCGCGCTACGCAAAGAAGCGCTTCTGGTGTGCGACCTGCACTTTTCCAGCTGCACCTCAAGCTTAAGATCACAGGGAGCTTTTGTGATGCGACCGGCTGAAGTTTAAGGCAGACGCAATGAAAAATACACGTTTGCAAACCTACCTAAAGTTACAAACAATAATTCCGATTACAGCGATCATGTGGAGAATGCTGATCGTGTGTTGAGCCCAATGAGCCTTACATCTAAAAATAGAGCACGGGTGTTCCTTTAGTGACATCGCTTTGACTCACACGCTGAAAATGGCGGACGTGAAACAACAAACTAAGGATACGGTGACGCGCCTGTCAATCAATATTGGTGGGCGGGGGGACCGCACTCCTACGTCAAGTTGCGGTCACTCTGACAACCGTTCCAATTGGTCCACCGTTTTTATGTTGTCAAATTGAAAAAAAGGCACTGTGTGTGTTTATATCAGCTCAATATGACGGTCTATACACTATACTTACACACATGTCAGTCCAAACAGCTTGAAAAGTAGATTTTTCACCATAGGTGCCCTTTAATCAGGATTGAGGTTGATGAACAATTACAATTGGAACAAAAAATCTGAATTATGCAATTTTACAGCAGTTAAATCTCGAACATAACAAAAGTTGAAAGGGTTGAATACCTCAGTGTCTCCAGTTGACAGTGTAAACTCTCCAGTCCAGCAGAGAGCCGCTTCAGTCCTGAATCCTGCAGGTCATTGTTACTCAGATCCAGCTCTCTCAGGCATTCTGTTGACTGTAGAGCTGAAGACAAACTTTCACAGGACACGCCCGTGAGATCACAGATGGCCAGCCTAAAACAGAACAATAAGTCAGGAAGTATTTACACTTAGGTCTGAAGGAAAGCAGTCCTCCAGGCTAGCCGTGACTTTGACACATTCCGAATTACATGTACAAACATTTTTTCCCGTATAGCAAACCGATTCAGACTGAAAGTTTGAAAATTGACTGTTTTATGTGTAAAAGTCAGCATCAGTTGTCAATATATTTACAATGATAAATGAAGGCACTGTTTGCTTGTTCAACCAGCTGTTCACACTCAGCTGATAATTGATTATAAAGCGTGTTAGGTTTATATATATATATATATATATATATATATATATATACACACACACACATACATACACACACACACATATACATATATACACATTTATATACACATACATATATATACATACATATATATATATATATATATATATATGTGTGTGTGTGTGTGTGTGTGTGTATATATACACATACATACATACATAT